CAACTAATGGCAACCCCCCACATTTTTTGGCAATTTCTTGTCCAATACCTTCTAAATCCAAAGGTATTGAAGTTTCTGTTGATGATCTGAGAACTGTGTCCTCAATTATCAACCAACATTCATGATCTGATAGCTTTACCATATCATGTTTTTGCATTGGAAGTGCCTCCATTATGGATGCTACCTTATCACTACGAGTAGTCACAAGAATGGAGTTTCCATTGGTTTTTAAAATTTTTAACAAACGAGAATTGAAACTATCCCACTTGCCTCTATCTTCATTCCACAAGTCATCAAGAACTAGAAGAAATTTTCTATCTTCTAACTTCTGTCCAAGTTCCTGAATAAGTGCACCTATATTATTCTTTCGACCAACAGAGCTACCAAGGTATTCTAACATATCTCCTAATATTATTTTTTCATCAAATTCCTCAGACACACAAACCCAAGCCACCAGGTCATACAACTTTTGTTCTTTTACCATACTACATATTGACTTCGCTAATGTTGTCTTGCCTATGCCCCCAAAGCCTACTATTGAAATGCCAGAGAGGATATGTTGACTCCTTATGTTATCCAGCTTCTTGACAATTTCTAAGACATCATTATGCCTTCCTACAAATTTGGAACAATCAGGGATGGGATCTGTCTCAGGATATTGCCTTGCACCAGCAGTGGAATGACATTGGTCACTAAATCTGATTGACAGATACAAAACCCCTTGGTTGTTGATTTCATCCAGATCCTTATTAATTGTCCTAATCTTATCAGCCATGCTAAGACGAAAGGCAGTGCGATTGAAAACACCAAAGAAAGTGCGCACCTTTTTCATCTTTCGGCCTTGAGTCTGAACTTTGTGCTTAAGAACCTCATACTCGTACTCATCCAGTACATCCACCGCTTCATAAGCTACATCTGTGAGGTGCTGTAACCAACTCCTTATGGCTGGATTGCTTTCTTGCCTCTCTTCAGCATCTTGAAGCAATCCTTGTATCATAGTCAGTTTTTGAGCAAGCTTCCCCAGCTTCTTCTCCAGACCCCATGCCGTGCTGATTTGTGCAGCAGCAAATGAAAATGCTTTAGAAACTGCAGTCTTTATGATTGGGCTGACGAAGTTGAGGGCAAGTTCAGCCATTATGCTCAGAGAATCAGAGAAAAATGGCTAGCACAATTAAACTCTGCAAAAGAAAAGGGGAATAGTGTTGAGAGAGCAGAGATTGGAGCAGCCACTGGACTAAAAATATGTTGAAATGTCGATGAAGAATCAGCAAATAAAAGGTAATCACTTACCAGATCTAATCCTAAAATGCTTAGCCACACAGAAAGATAACAAACGCAAGAGAATCCTGAGAGACAAATAGAGATGGTGTTTGTGAGAGAACTGAGCACAGATGAGGAGAGATTGAAATGCAGCCCTGTTTTTATAGAGCAGAGGCACCACTGTAGCTATACGCGCATATGGATTTCTGCTTAGCCAATGCAATTATGTTCCTGTGATATTTCCTATATTTGCTTTTTCTTACTTTTTCTTTCTCATCTAGTAGTGCTTCTGCTTTCCTGCTTTGCTTTTTCTTGTTTTATTCTTTCTTATCTAGGAGTGCTTCTCTTTTCCTGCTTTCTGCCACGATGTGAATACATGACCAAAGCCGACCATCCCATTTCTTTGAAAGTTCCAGTTTACCTTTTCTATTCTTTACAAATTAAAGTGAATTTCTTACCCCATTTCCGTCACCCCGTTTGTTCTTTTTCTAATGTAAATAAATAGAATTTTCCAGGATGACTCTTTTTGCTGGAGGTAAGTTTCTGGGAAATGGAATTTCCGGTTCCTTAGTTTTTCCTTTTATTACTTTCTAAAAGGTAAATTAATCGAATGTTTCCACGGTATCTTCTTATTTTGTTGATAAATTATAATTATAATTTTCAAAAGATTGTACTACTTAAAAATTAAGATGAACATCACATTAAAACTATGTTATTTGAAATAAAGGGCTAAAAGAAAATTAAGACAAAAAAATCTAGTCAATGTTCTAAAAATATGATTTTTAGTATTTTTTAATGAAAATTTATTGAAATGAAATAATATTTTTCACATTTCCCTTTTCTCTTTTCTAAGTATAAAGATTAACATTTGTTGCTTAGTTGGCAAAGCTAAATATATATATATATAGATAAAGCTTGCTACTTTTAATTATAAAATTTGTTATTCTATATATCACTAATTGATTTAAATTTGATGTTTTTCTTGTTTAAATGTTTGTAAAATTTTTACATTATGCCTAATAATTAAAGATAATTAGTAAAATACTTAGAAATATTCATAAAAATATATATAATTCAAAGCTCAAAAGAGTATATAGAAGTAATACCTTATCTCTAACATAATCTCTCTACAAGAAAATAATTTTTTATTAATCTTGAATGTGTTTAGTACATAAATATTTTACAATTCAAATGATAAAGTGGATGGAGTGACCTCGGCTTATTATCAAGGACCCTTCATCATCAACACGTTTTACTCCAAATTACAAAATGCCCTATTGATCTTTAATTCTATGAAAGAAATCAACCTCAATTATGTTTTGCACCTTCTACTGGACCATAAGAAATTTAGTAAAAGGCAATAGGATGTTTCTGTAGTATATCTCATTCAATTCTTCTCCTTAGCTTTTCTTTAAGTACCTTTCAAGGAAAATTAACAAAATATATGTGTGATTTCTGTGATATTTCTTTTTGATGGAGTAATTGATGCTTCTCCTTTTCTCTGTAAAATTTCCAACAACAGAAATGATATCTTAATTTTTATTTTCCTAATTATTTTGACATTAATAGATCTAGTTGTTTAGTTATAGGTTTACCTGTAATATTATAAATGTAATATTATAAATATTAAATAAATAAAAAAATTTGTTACCCCATTCAACGGTGGATTTTGATTTATTACGGCCAAAAAAACACATTTTTTTTATTATTTTATTCTTTCTTTGAACTGAGCACAGATGAGGAAGGATTGAAATGCAACCCTGTTTTTACAGAGCAGAGACACCACTGTAGCCATGCGCGCATATGGATTTCTGCTTGGCCAATGCAATTATGTTTCTGTGATATTTTCTATTTGCTTTTTCTTATTTTATTCTTTCTTTGAACTGAGCACAGATGAGGAGGGATTGAAATGCAGCCCTGTTTTTACAGAGCAGAGACACCGCTGGAGCCATACGCGCATATGGATTTCTGCTTGGCAAATGCAATTATGTTTCTGTGATATTTCCTATTTGCTTTTTCTTATTTTATTCTTTCTTATCTAGGAGTGCTTCTCCTTTCCTGCTCTCTGCCACTGTGAATAATTGACCAAAGCGGAGTGTCCGATTTCTTTGACAGTTCCAGTTCACCTTTTCTATTCTTTACAAATTAAAATGAATTTCTTACCCTATTTTCCGTCACCTCTTTTGCTCTTTTTCCAATGTAAATAAATAGAATTTTCCATGACGTCTCTTTTTGCTGGAGGTAACTTTCTGGGAAATGGAATTTCCTGTTCCTTTGTCTTTCCTTCTATTACTTTCTAAAAGGTCAATTAATGGAATGTTTCCACGTTATCTTTTTGTTTTGTTGATAAATTATAAGTATAATTTTTAAAAAAGATTAATGATTATATTTGTTGTACTACTTAAAAATTAAAATGAATATTACATTGAAATTATATTATTTTAAATAAAGGATCAAAACAAAATTAAGACAAAAAAATTTAATTAATGTTTTAAAAATATGATTTTGTAATCTTTCTCAATGAAAATTTATTAAAATGAGATAATATTTTTCACATTACCCTTTTTCCTTCTCTATAAGTATAAATATTAACATTTGTTGCTTACGACTTGTTTGGTTGAGCTTTTAAGAATTTTAGTTTTTTGATATTATTCATATTTTATAAATTTTAATTTTTTTAAAAAAATTTACATTTTAAAACTTTTTTTAATTTTAAAAAGACCTTAAATAATAAAAACCCAAAAGTTTTAAATTCAAACTTTTTATAAA